AACTATATGTTTTGATGATCGTTTCCTCGTTCATTGCAAAAATATTCACACGGAGTGAAAAAATGCGTTCTCTGCGTCTCCTTGCTTTATTTCCATGTCTCCTTCTTGCGACAATAACCGCTGCCATGTGTGCGCAATTACGCATACAGACCATTTGCACCTTCTTTTGAAACGTGTTAAATATAGAGTCAGATACCGTTAGCAAAATTGCTTTCAGGTTTAATAAATCACTTTGCGAGTGCTAAATTAATATATTTACATGTTCTCCTCCCACAAGACGCACTTTAGCGTGTAAACGCCCCATATTGCATATTCATTGCAGAAAAAGTACTAAATGGATCAGAGGCGCTATTTAGCACGTTTTAAAGACCAAATGCTTTTAGCACGCTGTTAATAGATCAGTTTGTACATTTTTTAGCGTGCGCAGTGAAATAGCTCACGTTTTAATACACGCAAACCTTTGATAGATCCGGCCCTTTGTGTTCATAGGGATTGTCGTGGTTTTTCTTTCTTAACTACTCAAAAATTTAAACTAAGTTTTTATAAAAAATTCAAAGTTCTCAAAAGGCAGAAAAAGTCTTCAACCAAAAATTGTAAAAATCAGGCAGAGGTCACGGATTTCCAAGTCCAGAGTGTTTTATTGCAAAACACAGCATTCACACTGAGCTGCTCTCCGGAGAAACAACTGACACTACAATGAAACAGCTTCCCTTTTATACATTTCAAGCTATGGGGCTCCTCCCCCAAGCTCCTCCTTTCTTTTTCATCATTTCACATGCATTTCTTCGGTTAAGTCTAATTAATTTTATTTTACCGGTGGAAAGTCCTTTTCAAAACACATTTTTTTTATATATTTAATCAACAAACACTTCATTACATGTCATGATTACTTTTCTTATAAGTCATAATATCATATGTTGCTATTTAATCATCAACCATTATTTTCCAGCTATTATTATTTCAAAACACAGTTTCCAGTTTAGTTTTTATTATTTTAAAACAATGTCCTCATCCAGTGATTATGATTGTAACATTTCACATAAAACTATTCCGTGATCTATGCTTGCAACATTTTACATTGAACTAGGGTGCTCAAAGTTTCAGTAAATCATTACATTTGTACTGCTCAGGGTGTGAGTGTGTTAAAACCTATAGCTCCACTTTCCAAACACATTTTGTTTAACTAGGCTGGGTACATCTGCGCCGATGTTCCTCCAACCGGCCTTATCTTGACTTTTCTGCTGCTTCTGAGGCCTAAACAACCTTGGCCATCTGCCCTTCTGTTGCTGTACTCGGAACATTAGTGATCCCAACCATCTGCTGTGCCAAAAATTCCATCTTTTCTTAGAAACTTACCCTTGCAAAAGCTACACTTTAGGATTACTCATTAACAGTCTACTCCTGCAGGGGTGCACTATCTAATCAGCCTTATTTGTAAAGCTGTACTGCTCTCAGCTCAGCCCTTTCCATGTTAAAATGGTTAGACCTTTAAACTAAGCCCTTTATTCAATGTAAAAGATGACATGCATACAACTTTAATTATATAACTTTAATCATAGGTGCGCACTGATTCTCTACATTATCCCCCCTTTGATCCTAGAAGGATCAATACTACACGAAGCTACTCAAAATACCATAAGTGTAAGATGTCAAAAGTACCTACTTATTCATATGCATGCACGTCAAACTAGGAGTAAGTCAAACCTACATTAAATGAATCCTACATCATATGTCAAACTAGGAATAAATCTAACCTACATCACAAGACTATAGTGACCAATATAAGAGGTCATAAGTATATAAGGACAGCTTAATCAAAGAGGGATCCCCCTCTTGGCTCACTTATGAGGATTTCCCCCTGTTGCTTACTTTTTTTGTAGAAGGATTTTCTAACTTTGTTTTCTCGGCAAAGGAGAACGTCAATGTTCAAGTGGCATTTCGTGCCCTGAGGTCACTGGAAATCCCTTCGCATGGGTGTGGCCAAACACCCTTAAATAAACTAAAAACAAAAACCTTACATCACTCCTGGGTTAGGCCAGGAAAAGCACATCATCTAATGGTCAATGGACCTTCAATACATCCAACCTAAGAGTAACCATGTGGCACCCTCCTGCACAGTACTTGTACTGTCACATGAAGTATACAATTATATCCATATTCTTAACATAGGTATGCATAATCATCGGTAATCAGCAATGTCCGTTACAGCCAGTTATAGCGTTGAAGTGGATATATTAATAATAATAATAAAAACCTCCAAAGTTCTGTCCATAATTCTGTCCTCCGTTTAGGCCCCCTTGGGTGTAGGGAGCCATATGCTGCAGATTAGCGGTCAGCTGCCGCACTTGCTCTTGGAGGCTGATAATGGTCTGCTGCGCACCTTGAAGTTGCCCCACCTGCTCTTGCAAGTTGATAATGGTTTGCCGTGCATCTTGAAGTTGCTGCCTCAGTTCCAGATTGTCTCTGGTCAGCTGTCGTTTTCCAGCCTTTACTTTGCGTTTGTACATGGTGCGGCGCATCCGTTCAAAGGACCGACGTGGCTCGGGGTTCGTCAGTCCCCTCATGAATTTGGCATATACTGCTGTGGTCATAGAGGTGATTTCAGGTTTAAGATCAGCGTTGGTGTTATAGGACTCCAGCGGATGAGCCAAGAACTTTGCAACATGGTGAGCTTTGGCAAGATCCAGCTTTATGTCATCTGCTATGACCTTAAATATAGCCAGTACGCCTGGAATGGGTGGTAGCGGATAATTATATTGGTGGGGTGACGGTGATCGTTGATCCTCGGAATCCTCGGTGTCGATCTGCAGGGCCCCAAGAACCGGCTCGTTCAGCTCTGTCAGGAAGCTTGTTGGAAGGGGCAGAGAGGCATGTTCTTCTTTACTCTGCTCGGCCTGCAGTCCTGATGTGGATGGTAGCTCCTGATGCCATCTGAGGTGGGAAGGCAGTCGATCCTCCGGATTTTCTGGGCTGGCAGGGGTGCTGTTTGGGCCGAACTCGATCCTGAGGTTCCCAGGTGATGGCGGGTTGGACAGTGGCTTCCCTGTTGGTGACGGCGGTTGATCATCAGGCTGCCTTCTGGGCGTCATCATAGGCCTGGTCCAACCCGGAGGTGCGACGTCTGGCTCCCCTGCAGGACCTTCTGGCTGCCTAGGTGGGATATATGGTCCTGCTACCCCTAGTGATGGGCCTAACGACGCTGGTTGGTCTTTTCTTTCAGTGTACATTAGGCATGCCTCAAAATAAGATTTTTGGTTTTCGTCATGTATATCGAAATAAGCCTCTGCCATGCTCAATAGTCTACCTGTGGGGACATAGTATGGCATATTTAGACATCGTCATAAGATATATTATTCCTTATAGCTATGAATAATTTCAACATGCAAATTGCTATATCTACTAAGTATATAAGTTGTTGTTAAACCAGTTAATATACATATGTACAATTATGTTAGTAAATAAGGGCACGTACCTGATGGGGACGGGTGGAGATCATGAGTATGTTCTACATGACTTGATCCAATTGTATCTGCACTACTGGGAACTGTCCTGTTACACTTACAATGAGTCGTGTGATCAGACCTCGCACAATGGGCACGATGCAACAAATGACTATCAAAATCATTAATATTATTACTCCTAAAGCCATCCCGATTGCCTTAAGATATCTTAGCCATCCAAGCTTGCCAAGCCAGTCCCAAAATCCCTTTATTTGAGTATTCCAATTAGATTGTAGTACATGCTCGTCCCTCATGCGCTTCATTTCCTGTAGGACTCCTGTGAGGCTGCCATTTACATCTGTATGCATAGGAATTAATGTACAACAATCTTCCCCTATATGATCGCATATCCCTTGATCCCCTGCCATACGGGATTCTAGCACGAACCTATTTTGCAGAACCATTAGGGAAGTGGCATGCAACTGTTCCTTCACCAGATCCATGCCCTTTATTGTGAAATTGATAAACCTCTGTTGATTATACCATAAGAGATTCACCCATCTGCTATTTCGAGCTGTGTATTGTGCATTGACAATAGTTCCCCAAATTGGTACCGCGCCAGCCGCTCTTCCACTTTCTATCCAATCACTTCCTATAGCAATCTGATCTTCAGGTACTCCTAACGGGATCTGATCCCAAGTAATATATACCTCATCCGATGCTTTCCACTCGTGTTTTTCAGGAGTACTTCTCTTAGCACGATTGGCTATTTCGTTGGATGTGTTCTTAACACCTTCGGGGTTCGCTACTATTAACTTCAGTTGTCCTGTTAGCATTACTGGTGCACAGATGCCTTCCCATAGAGGGGGCAGTGTGGTAAACATCTGTGTTTTATTGTGACACATCCAAAAAATGTCACCCAAAGGGGCAGAACCCTTTGCCATAGTCAATATTCGATACTGCGACACGCTTGAAGGTTGGAACTCATAGATGACATGATCTCCATCTGGTATTACTTGTTCACAACGTATGGTAGCTTTTAAACTAGTTTTGCAAAACTTAATATGACGGGTGGAATTTCCATCCTCAGTTGGTGTGAACCATGTTCTGTTACTACATGTCACCAGTCTATCTGCTGTCCACATTTTGCCAGAGTTCCTTCTAGTCACTTCTTCTAATTCTTTTCCACTGGCTATACAGAACGGAAAAATCAGGTTAGCCGGTTTCTGTACTACTGGTGGGAGGGAGAACGTACTCATTATATCGTTTACTGACGCGGTCAATGCTCTAGGGCATATTGTGTGATCTTTTGACAATGCCGCAAGACCTCCGGCCATCTGCATGGCACAGTGAGCAAAACATTCTGTTACATCTGGACAGTCACCTATTTTACTCCCGGGGATTATCTGAAGGGCTGGTAATTTCTTATTATTATAGCAGGCTATGCAATCATCTGTAGGGCGCTTTTTAGCTGTGAACACTGACTGGACAGAGTACTGAATCCATTGTTGGAACATGTTGTTTTCCCAGTAGGGCCGTTTTTAATTTATCTAGGTCTCTTTTCAGTCTTCTGTTCACTAATTGCACCATGCTATGCGCTCTTTCTACTGTCATTATCTGTTTTGTTACTGTGTCCTGGCATATGTTTGTTTTGCATCTTACCTCAATGATCACCATCCCATCCCCATGGCAGTCCGCGCTTCGGGGAAGTCCAAGCCAATGTTTCCCCATTGACTTCCCTAAAATTTCTTCAGACATTACATAATTATAAAACATACTTTGCACATGCATTATTGATTTACTTTCTTCATTATTGTTAGTGATTACCCCTTGGTTAGTAGCTAGTGTTACCATCGCTAAGGCACATGTTTGTGTTTGACGCATTAAGTGTGGGTGTGTGTTGTTAGTAGTAACCTTAATTAGATCCCCCCTTGTTAACCCACAAAGGGTTAACAAAACAAGAACATTAGTCAAAGTTGTACGCATGCGGGTAATGCCCAGACGGCGATGGAGTGGGCGGGACCGAGTCGATCGGCGGCCCTTCAGCTTCGGAGGAGGAAGAGGAAAGGGAGGGGAAAAAAGGGGAAAGTGCAGGTGCGGGATGTGAAGGTGACACGACTCCACCAGCATCTGGTGGGTCAAAAAAAACACGTTCGTCCAACGTCTGAACGACGGATGGATCAGGGTTAGACCCATCAGTGCTCTGAGCGGCAGAAGGATCATCATCAGTGCCACCAGAGTCAGAAGGCGAATCGGGAGCATAAGAATGAACACTATCATCCTCAGAGTCCCTGGACATAGGAGACCGCCTGGCCGCCAGGCGTTCAGACCGCCTCTGACCGGCTGAGGTGGACGGCGGAGAGGGGGCATTAGTATCTGATTCCAAGATTTGTGAGCTCGTGGAGGGGTGTTGCGGAGGGAGACTTTCTGCTGCCCTGTCAGCATGCGCAGAGCCCGTCGGTCCTGGATCAAGTCCAGGTGGGTCTGGAGGCCGATGCCTGGTGCAGTGGTTCTTGTGGAACCAGAAGGGCTTACCTTCAACTTTCAGGGCAGTGGGAGTGGTAAGTACAACTTTATAGGGGCCTTCCCTACGAGGCTCGTTCCACTGACGTCTAAAGACTCGTATGAACACACTGTCCCCAACTTGAACGTCTCTGACGTCCGCTGGAATGTGTGTCTCGTCTCGGCTGTGGGCAGCTTTCACCTGTTGAAATATAAGTCTGTGAATGCGTGTTAAGGATCTGAGGTAATCCCCCAGTTCACGTTCAAGCTGTGCCAGGGAAACCTCCTCCTGCTGGGGTCCTCGAACCTGTGGGAGTGGCATTGGTCGACCTGTAAGCATTTCATGTGGAGTAAGATGGGTTATGCGGTTAGTTTGGGATCGCATTGCCATTAATGCAATAGGTAAAGCATCAACCCAAGTCAAACGGTTGTTGCTGTCAGCCATTATCTTAGCAATCTTGGTTTTCAGTATGCCATTAGCTCGTTCCACAGAGCCCTGTGACTGGGGATGATACACACAACCAAACTTTTGTTTTATACACAACAGTGTAAACATCTGCCGAATCACATGTGAAACAAAATGAGGTCCGTTATCAGATGATATGGTGTCAGGCATGCCAAATCTAGGAAAAACTTCTTTACACAAAAACCGTGCCGCTGCTCTGTGGTCATTTTTAGCAGTGGGGCATGCTTCCACCCACCTGCTAAACCGACAAACAACCACCAACATATACCTCTTTCCCTGAACACGAGTGATCATGTCAACGTAGTCCATCATCAGATGACGAAACGGACCGTCCGGCATGGGGATATGTGCTAGGGGTTGTGTGAACATCTTACGCACATTATATTTAGGACAATGCGGGCATAAGGCCAGCTCTCTGTCTACCATAGGTGTCATATAAGGTGACCACCAGACTGCCTGTAGCTTCTGAATAACTTGGGCTCGTGAACAATGATCAGGTCCATGCATTATTTTAATCGCGGTGGGTAACAGAGACAAAGGTAGAACAAAATGCCCTCGACAACTCCTCCACAAACCATCATGGGGATGTGATAGTCGTGCCGCCCCCCTTTGCACCCACAGACGTTTTTCCGCTTCAGAGACTCTGTTTTGGGCTTGTATTAACGAAGCTAAGTTCGCAATAGGTTTACATTCAGCTATGTGAACCATTGGTCCCTGCATTGCAGGTCCTGTGGCTTCTTTGGCCGCTTCATCCGCCAAGTTGTTTCCTATGGCAATGGGTGTCTTTGCCGTCTGATGAGCTGCACATTTTACGATAGCTAAGGCAGATGGCAGTTGCATAGCTTTTATTAATTCTACAACTGCTTGCCCATGTGTTACTGGGGTGCCATCTGTTTTAACAAACCCTCGTTGTTTCCAGATGCTAGCATTAATATGGCAAACCCCGTATCCATAGGCACTGTCAGTATAGATTGTCACCTTTTTACCAGTAGCTAGTTTACATGCAGCTGTTAATGCCTTTATTTCTGCTAACTGAGCAGAGCAAGGTTGATCTAAGCTCACTGATTGTACTTTGGTAAAGGTCCCATTAGGGTTGAGTTGGACTATTCCATATCCAGCTCTGTTCCCAGTCTCACCTCTGATGCAGGAGCTGTCCACAAACAGCGTCAGATCAGATGGGATTGGATGATTGTATAAGTCCTCCCTTACTTTCATGAAGGTGTCCGTCTCCTTGAGACAATCATGGGGCTCACCTTCTGTGGGCAGTACCATTCTTGTGGCTGGATTAATCGTGGTACAGCGTTGTATTGTTAAGTCAGGTCCTGAAAGCAGAACTTCGTAACCTGTTCGACGAGCTTGTGTAATCACAAAGCGTGGGCTGGTAAGCAGTGCATGTAATTGATGTGATGTATACAAAATTACAGGGTGGCCCATAGTAATAACTGAGGCCTTTTTGTATGCGAAGGCTGCTGCTGCCAAACCCTGGTAGCAGGGAGGCAAACCTTCTTCGACACCATCTAATTTTGTGCTGTAATAGGAAATTGGTTGTTTACCTGTCGGGGTGTCTTGCATCAATACCGCACATGCATACCCTTGTCGCTCAGCCACATAGAGATGGAATGGTTTGCCATAATCTGGATTGGCAAGAGCAGGAGCAGTTTGGAGATCCTGTTTCAGCAGCTGGAACGCACCTTCTGCTTCATCTGTCCACTGTAATTGAGCAGATTGGTGTCCTTGTCCCGCAGCTTTAATTAGTGCTCTCAGTGGAGCCGTTTTGATGGCATAATCACACACCCATGGTCTGCTGTAACCTGCCATGCCAAGGAAAGACAACATGTGACCAACAGTCCGAGGTCTGGGCATTTGTATTATGGCTTCCAGTTGGGACGGTGCAATACACCTTTTGTCCCCACTGAGTTGCCTGCCAAGGTACTCCACTGTTTGCTGGCAGAATTGCAATTTTTGTTTACTCACTTTGTGTCCTCCTTCTGCCAACGCAGTCAACACTGTAATGGAGTCTCTTTCACACTGCTCTTTAGAAGCAGAACAAATCAGAATGTCATCAACATACATCAACATTGTGGATGGTATGTCAAGGTGATTTAAGTCATTTGCCAGTACACGATTGAAAATTGATGGTGAGTGTACAAAGCCCTGTGGTAATCGCGAATAAGTATATTGTTGGCCTTTGTACGTGAATGCAAATAAATACTGGGAATCTGGATGGACCGGTACACTGAAAAATGCTGAACACAGATCTATCACGGTGAACCATTTTGTACCTGGGGGTATGTTACTCAGTAGTGTGTGTGGGTCTGGTACTACTGGTATTTCTTCCGCTACAATAGCATTAATCAATCTCAAGTCATGCACTAATCTGTTAGCCTGACGTAGTCCGACTCAATTCTAGTCAGAATATGAGTCTGATACTGCTCCATAGAGCTGTGATTATGGGGCGTGTTTCAAACGAACCAGGAAAAAAAATGCCTCTGCACTCAATTGGATAGACCTACAACCAATAAGAGCAACGGAGTGCGTGACGTATGTTAAGCGAGGCATAGTTGTTGTCCACAAAAATCAAAGCGTGCAGTTTCGCGTTTCTCTGTTCCTCTTTTAAAATTAATTTGCTGTCGATATCTTCTAGAACAGACCTAATAGCAGAATCTACTCACCCAAACTCTCCAGCGGCAGCCATTATTGTTGTCACCCTAGCGCGCTTTGGTCACGTGGTTGATTACGTTACTGTTGATCATCTGTCCATCATCGTATAAAGTCCGCCCTGACAATTTGATTGGATCGCCTGACAGTGGGCTTTAATACTCGCGCTACTATGGAGCAGAGCCAGACCGAACTTCCCCGAACTCAAACCTTGTGGGCGGGACTAAGTTCTGACTGGCACCCAGGCTACTAATCTGTAGTCATTACTGTTGGGCTTTCTGATAGGAAAAATTGGGGTGTTACAGGGGCTTGTCGTTTGTTTAAGGACTCCTGCTATTTCTAATCCTGTAATAATAGGTTGTATCCCTTCTACTGCCTCTTGTTTAAGGGGGTACTGTTTTTGAAAGGGTAATTTCACGTTTGATTTGATGGTAAATTTGATGGGGTCTGCTGATTTTACTAACCCTACATCTGTTTTGCTTTTGGACCATACCTGCTCTGGAACCTGATCTAATAATGATTCATGTTCTGCAGCCACTGCCATCTGTCTTTTCCCAGGAACTTTAATGTGTTCTGCTATTACTTCATCAGCTTGTGTACATGAGATTTTGAAAAACAGTCCATCTTTTGACATGCTAATGCAGTTCCATGCTGTAGCAATCCATTCAGTGACCTGCTTGGCTTCTTGGACCATGGGTCCCAGGTCATGTGACTCATATTTGTCTGCAATCAATAATGTGACATGTGGTGCTGAGTTGGGTACCTGGAACCATTCTGCTACTTCTTTATCAGGAAATGTGACAACAGCTGCAGCTCCTTGTGGTCCAACTATTATGTCAGCGTATTGGATGACAGTTGTTTTGTTGTTAATTTCTTCATCCCAACTTTTCTCATAGTCTTCGTGTGTCTGTCCTTTGTCATAAAACATGGTGCAATGGAGAGGGAGGAAGGGTTCTTTAGACTCCTCATAGTGATTCATTACAAGGGGCCTCCATTTTTCCCACTCCAGTTGGAGGAAGGAGGTTGGTGAGGTGAGTTTCAGCCAGAACACTTGGTCTTCTAGATCATGGTTAATTGTCTGGGGGGTCTGTTGCAGGCTTAGTGGCATCATGTAGGCTTCCTTCTTGTCTGTTGCTTCAAAGGTAATTCCATTAGGGGTACATTTAATTTCTGCGTTGAGCTGGCATAGCACATCTCTACCCAGCAGATTTATGGGCGTATCTTCTGAGTAAAGTAGTGGTGCATACACAGTCTTTTCACCTATAATCATGGGAACTGGCTCAGTCATGGGTATTATTTGGGTTTTCCCAGAGAAACCTACTGTTCGAATCTTTGATGCTGAGAGAGGCAGGCCAATTCCACTTTTTCCTATACAGGAGTAGGCCGCTCCTGTATCAATCATGAAACGATGATGCCTGTCATATATAGTGACATCAATGGTGGGTTCTGTTTGTGGTCGTTGGGTTAATACAGGTAGAATGGCCTCTCCATCAGGTTTCTCTGGGCACCCCTATTGCCAGTACATTTCTTGTCCGGCTCCATAGGTGGCTGGTTCAGCAGTGGGGGGCTGAGGTCCCATCCATGGGTTCGTGGGGCAGTCTCTTTGCATGTGTCCAACTTGTCCACATCCCCAGCATTGGAGTCTTCCACGCTGCTGTGTCATGTCTGGACCTGCCTGGGGCATCTGCTGGTGTTGGCCTTGAGGGGGCCTTCTTGGGGCTCCTTGCGTTCCCCTCCATCTTCCCCGCGTGGGTGGCCCTCCTCGTCCTCTATTGAACCCTGCTTGTTGAGGACCTCCTCCTTGGTTCAGATGCACATGAATAGGAGGGATTGGTTGAGGTTGGATCTGTTGTGGGATTGGTTGGGGTTGGATCTGCTGTGGCAGGGCTACTCCCACAGGCGGTGGTGTTGGATATTGCATCTGCTGTGTGGGCGGAGGAATGACAGGAGACACCACTGGTGCTTGTACCACTGCCTCTCCCGTTGGTGCATTCTCATCAGGAGGTGTGGCTGTCACCGTCAGTGCTGCTTGGTGTTTAGGTTTTTCTTTTTCTTTCTTTGCTCTGGACAATTCCCCAATCTGTAGCTGGGTCAATCTGGTGGCCAACACCTTACTTTGTTCCTCAAAGGCCTGTTTTTCAGCCCTGTACATGTTTACATGATGTATAACATGCTCAGTGAACAGTGGCCAGTCCATCTTCATGAGCGCCACAACATCCTTCAGTTTGGCTTGCACTTCTTTGGGCATGGCCTCTTTGATGTAGGTCCTGAACAGGGGGCCAAATGTCTTCAGATCCTTCCCATCACTGCCAGTCTCTGTTTTCCATCTCTGTTGGAACCTGTGCAGGAATTGGGCTGGGCTCTCATCGTCCTTCAGGCATTCTTCTTTCAGCTTGGATGGATCACTGCAGGTGGGGTATTTGTCTCTCAAAGCTGCCCACACCTTGGGTCTTATCTTGTTGAATGGTATCTTGTCATACCGGTGTGAGGACATGACCCCTGGAAGCTGAGCTTCATCAAACACCTCTCTGGCTGCTGAGTGTCCTGCTGTTTTGATCAGCAGTGCCTTGATGTCTCCCGCAGCCAGGTTGATGCCTCCAGTGATTTCTTCCAGCTTTTCTATCCACCTGTCAGCACCATCTGCTAGTGGGGTCAGTCTCCCAGCCAGAGTTATCATGTCCATAAAGGACCAGGGTACATACACTATATTGCCAAAAGTATTTGCTCACCTGCCTTGACTCACATATGAGCTTAAGTGACATCCCGTTCCTAATCCATAGGGTTCAATATGACGTCGGTCCACCCTTTGCAGCTAGAACAGCTTCAACTCTTCTGGGAAGGCTGTCCACAAGGTTTAGGAGTGTGTTTATGGGAATTTTTGACCATTCTTCCAGAAGCGCATTTGTGAGGTTGCACACTGATGTTGGACGAGAAGGCCTGGCTCTCAGTCTCCGCTCTAATTCATCCCAAAGGTGTTCTATCGGGTTGAGGTCAGGACTCTGTGCAGGCCAGTCAAGTTCATCCACACCAGACTCTGTCATCCATGTCTTTATGGACCTTGCTTTGTGCACTGGTGCACAGTCATGTTGGAAGAGGAAGGGGCCAGCTCCAAACTGTTCCCACAAAGTTGGGAGCATGGAATTGTCCAAAATGTCTTGGGATGCTGAAGCATTCAGAGTTCCTTTCACTGGAACTAAGGGGCCAAGCCCAGCTCCTGAAAAACAACCCCACACCATAATCCCCCCTCCAACAAACTTTACACTTGGCACAATGCAGTCAGACAAGTACCGTTCTCCTGGCAACCGCCAAACCCAGACCCGTCCATCAGATTGCCAGATGGAGAAGCGCGATTCGTCACTCCAGAGAACGCGTCTCCACTGCTCTAGAGTCCAGTGGCGGCGTGCTTTACACCACCGCATCCGACGCTTTGCATTGCACTTGGTGATGTATGGCTTGGATGCAGCTGCTCGACCATGGAAACCCATTCCATGAAGCTCTCTGCGCACTGTTCTTGAGCTAATCTGAAGGCCACATGAAGTTTGGAGGTCTGTAGTGATTGACTCTGCAGAAAGTTGGCGACCTCTTCGCACTATGCGCGTCAGCATCCGCTGACCCCGCTCCGTCAGTTTACGTGGCCTACCACTTCGTGGCTGAGTTGCTGTCGTTCCCAAACACTTCCATTTTCTTATAATACAGCTGACAGTTGACTGTGGAATATTTAGGAGCGAGGAAATTTCACGACTGGATTTGTTGCACAGGTGGCATCCTATCACAGTTCCACGCTGGAATTCACTGAGCTCCTGAGAGCGACCCATTCTTTCACAAATGTTTGTAAAAACAGTCTGCATGCCTAGGTGCTTGAATTTATACACCTGTGGCCATGGAAGTGATTGGAACACCTGATTCCAATAATTTGGATGGGTGAGCAAATACTTTTGGCAATATAGTGTATCTTTCTTCCTGAGGTCCTTTAGACAGCAAGGGAGCCATGTAGACCTCGTCTTGCTCTTGTTCTGGCTCTAGCTCTCTTGCTCTGGACCTGGTTTGCATGGCGTGTTTGCTGCCTTGTACTACTTGTAGATCCACATCACACTCGGCTGTGAGAGACTCCTTTGCACCTGCCTTTAGCCTGCTTTTTTCTTTGGACCCCTTATTGAATGGATGTTTTGGCGATATCATATCTGGGCCTTCATCTTGTGGCACAACGTGTTCCCAATCTGTCACATCACTCTCCACTGTGCTCACCTCCTTCTTGCTTGCTTTGTCCATCAGGAGTTGTGTCTGTGGACATGGTGGGTCCGGGCAATTTTCCCTAGCTGCTATTATAAGCTGCTCTTCTTCCATTCTTCTTTCTTTTTCTAGTTCTTCATCTCGCCTTCTCTTCTCTTCCTTTTGTCTCTTTAATATTTCTTTTACTATTGCAAATTCTTGTCGCGCCTTCTCTTCCAACTCTTTCTCTCTGTTGAGTTGTACGAACTTCTCCGTCAGTTCCGTCAATTCCTTGTCTATCTCCTCTGTCAGTGACTCAGTTTCCTCCAATACTACCTCGGTCTTGGGGTCTAAGTGGCTCTTATATGTTGTCTTGGTTCTAGGCTCCGAGCGGCATGGGGGGCTTTTAGGGTATGGTGAATGTCTGTGACGTTCTGGGGGCAGGGAGCGACTATGGGGGGTTTTCCTCCATACTTCTGGGGTTCTATCCCTTTCGTCATAGTCTCTGCTGTAATCGTACTCTTTTAGTATCATCAACTCTTCATCTCTCAGTTTCTTTAGTGGTTCAGATTCATCTAAAGCCAACTTGGTCTTGGGTGTCGGGTGGCTTGTAAGGCTTTTCCGCAGTGGTGCGTGTTTGCGACGTACTGAGGATCGGGTACGGGCAATGGAGGATTTTTTCCTTACTTGGGGGGTTCTTTGCATTTCCTCTTCCTCACTGCTGCATTCATACTCATCCTGCTGTGTGTCACTTGTCTCTCTTCCTGTTTCATCCTCATCTTCTTGTATTACTACTTTAAGTTGCCCTGTAATCTTTCCCTTTCTGCCTGACTCTAACACTACGGGGTATTGGCCGGCTGCATTAGAGTGATAAGGCGGTGGCTCATGATCTATGTAATCAGGGGCTGTTGGGCTTTTATGGTGTTCCATTTTAAAATACCGCAAGATGTCACTCTGTTCAGCATACTTCTGTTTTTTATGCAAATGCAACCGGTCACGCTTTTTATCCCTTTCCCGCAACTTGGCATCTACTTCATCACAGCAAGAAGGATCAAAGCTGCCCTCTTTTGGCCAGCGATCTTTCCCAGATGTTATCTTATGCCATTCTGTCATACATTTTTGGATTTTGCGTTTATTGGAAGGATGTGTCATTATAACCAATTTGGCAGGCGTCAATCCTGCGGACTGTTTGCTCCCATTGGCTCCCATGGCAATCAGCAGTCACTCAACCTTTAGGGTATATGCTTATTTACCAACCTTTATAATTTCACTTTAATTTTACTTTAACCGGTTCTGCTCTTTTCAATACAGATTTGCGTTTTCCTTTATTAGTATTCTTATCGTCCAATTGTTCTTCTTTTTTCCTGTTTAGATTTTCCAATCCAAATTTTTCGAGTTTTATTATAGATGCTAATACAGTTTTATGGATAATAATACTTTGCAACTAAGAATAGTAACTCTATAATTTATACAATATGATTTATAATGCCAATTGTTTATCATATAATCATATATCCAACTTTTTAAATCTTTACTTCAGGATTTTGTTAATTTATTTTGTTCTTTCCAGTTGCCAATCTGATCTACAATTCCCAGTTCTCTAAATTTGGGTTATATCTTCCAACTGTATTTTGTAATAACAATTTCTATTAATTTATTATTATATCTTAATATTTTATCAATGTTACAAACTTTTATTTATTATTATTAATTCTTTACCCCTTATTCCCCTTGGTAATAACTCTTTCACTCTTCACACAGACAAAGACACACCTAACAAATGATTATATATATTTTACAGTGCACTACTATTCTTCCTCACTGTCTTCCACAGTGGCATACGCGTTTTCCCTGCTGTCCGGATCTACTCAGATAACTGAAAATAGATAACGTTCCCGGTAGAGCGGTACTATCTCTCCGATTATCGCTTAATCGGTACTACTCTGGCTATCCCTTAGCCTGGCTATCGCTTAGCCTCTTAATACCTTAATACACAACACAAGCTTTTTCGTGGAGCATGCCAACTATCATAGTCGTCAATACCCTCACGTAACAGACGTACTATAGTGTTCCGGATCTATGGCTTCCACCGACTATTGTCCAAAAAACGTTTTGACCAATCTGTCCCTTCACCACTTATCCGCTTAGAACAACATCTGTTAAGCTTGACTAAGTTATCCAACACTTTAACAGTTCAAATACAGATTAATATAAACATCAATTAATAC